GTTTAAATTATTACAGACTAAAAGGCAAACATATAATATAGGCTGAAAATACTGTTTTTAGTAGTAATAATTAGATGTAAAGGTGAAATTGATATCTCCAAACTTCTTTCCAGATGAATAAAAGTGAACTGCTGGGCTGAGTATATGGAGGGAGAAAAAAAGACCAGTGTTAAAAAAAAGTTGGTTTTGGGGGTGGAAGTAGAGAAAGGTTTGAACTAATGGGTTTCTAGTCCGATTAGAGCCAGGCCTATTATGTAATAATAAATACGTGACATTAACTTGACTTGCAACAAATCTCCCAGTGTTTTCTAGATATAAAATACTCAGAATTAACTTTCTAGTCTCCCTCTGTGAAGAACGGATTTAAGGAACTAGATTTGGTGGGCAGAGTGCCTGAAGAACTATGGATGGAGGCTCATAACATTATACAGGACGCAGCAACAAAATACATCCCAAAGAAAAGGAAATATAAGAAAGAAAAGTGGCTGTCCAACAAGGCCTTACAAATAGCAGAGAAGAGAAGGGAAAAACAAAATGCAAGGGAGATAGGGAAAATTGAATTCAGACTTTCATAGAATAGCAAGGAGAGACAACTGGGTCTTCTTAAATGAACAGTGCAAAGATATAGAGGAAAATAATAGAAAGGGAAAAACTAAAAATCTGTTTGAGAAAATTGGAGATATTAAAGGAACATTTTGTGCAAAGCTGGACATGATAAAGGATAAAAATGGTAAGGACCTAACAGGATCAGAAGACATCAAGAAGAAGTGGCAAGAATACACAGAGGAATTATACCAGAAAGATCTGGATATCCCAGACAACACAGAGAGTGTGGTTGCTGACCTTGAGCCAGACATCCTGGAAAATGAAGTCAAGTGGGCCTTAGAAAGCATGGCTAACAACAAGGCCAGTGGAGGTGATGGTATTCCAGTTGAACTATTTAAAATCTTAAAAGATGACACTGTTAAGATGCTGTACTCAATATGCCAGCAAGTATGGAAAACTCAACAATGGCCAGAGGTTTGGAAAAGATCTGTCTGCATCCCAATCCCAAAGAAGGGTAGTGCCAATAGCACTCATTTTACATGCTAGCAAGGTTATGCTCAAAATCCTACAAGGTAGGCTTCAGCAGTATGTGAACCGAGAACTCCCTAAAGTACAACCTGGATTTCAAAGGGGCAGAGGAACCAGAGACCAAATTGCTAACATGCACTGGATTATGGAGAAAGCCAGAGAGTTCTAGAGAAACATCTACTGCTGCTTCATTGACTATGTTACACAAAAGCCTTTTACTGTGTGGACCACAGCAAACTCTGTCAAGTTCTTAAAGAAATGGGAGTGCCTGACCACCTTATCTATCTCCTGAGAAATCTATATGTGGGACAGGAAGCAACAGAGAACTGGATATGGAAAAACTGATTGGTTCAAAATTGGGAAAGGAGTATGACAAGGCTGTATATTGTCCCCCTGTTTATTTAACTTACAGTGGTGACCCGCATAGTGACAATAATCCGTTCCAAAAAAATCGTCACTATCCGGATTCGTCTATGCGGGGCAAAAAACCCCACACATTTAAAGCTTTCCTATGGGCTGTAAACTCACCGCTATGCGGAAATCCTCCATGCAGCCGCCGTTTTCGCTGCCCAGTAAGCAAGTAAAGGGTGCAAAAATGCTGCAGGTGGCCATTTTTTCCGGCGGCCATTTTGGAACAGCCAATCAGCTGTTCCCAAAACATCTCTATGCGAAAATCGGTAAGCGAAACGCTTACTGATCATCGCAAAGCAATTTTTAGCCATTGAGAACATCGCAATGCGATCGCTTTTGCGATCGCAAAAAACACGTTGCTATGCGGATTTGTCATTAAACGAGGCGCTCGCTATGCAGGGCACCACTGTATATGCAGAATACATCATGCGAAAGGGTGGGCTGGAGGAATCCCAAACTGGAATTAAGATTGCCGGAAGAAATATCAACAACCTCCGATATGCAGATGATGCCACTCTGATAGCAGAAAGTGAGGAGGAATTAAAGAACCTCCTAATGAGGGTGAAAGAGGACAGCACAAGAATGGTCTGAAGCTCAAAATCAAAAGAACTAAGATCAAGGCCACCGGACCCATTGTGGTGCTGGAGGAGACTCTTCAGAGTCCCCTGGACTGCAAGGAGAACAAATCTATCAATTCTGAGGGAAATCAACCCTGAATGCTCACTAGAAGGACAGATCCTGAACCTGAAGCTGAGACTCCAGTACTTTGGCCATCTCATGAGAAAAGAAGACTCCCTGGAAAAGACCCTGATGTTGGGAAAGTGTGAAGGCAAGAGGAGAAGGGGACAACAGAGGATGAGATGGTTGGACAACGTCATCGAAGCTACCAACATGAATCTGACCAAACTCTGGGAGGCAGTGGAAGACAGGAGGGCCTGGTGTGCTCTGGTCCATGGGGTCACAAAGAGTCAGACACAACTTAACTACTAAACAACAACTTCTATGGTGTTTTTCTGTGACTGTGCAGCTTGCTCGAGGTTCCAAAGATGGAGGGGCATGTAACCCCATCAGCTTCAGACAAGCTCAATTATCTCTGTTGGCCATTCTCCTGCCAGGCACAGTCGAGATTTGAACTTCTGCTCCCTGGCTCCAGAGACATATACCCTTACCAGCTAGCTGGATGACAATTATTCCACTCGCATTAGTATGTAAACTAAGCAGAAGACATATTTTTACATGCATGTTTCTGCATTGAGAAGGCAAATAATCAGTAATTACTTGAAATAGAGGTTTGTCTGCAGATCTTTTAACCTAAACATGGAGCAACAATAAATCCAAAGTTTTGTAACATGTTGAAAGAGGTCTGCTGATGCAACCCTTTCCAGTAACGAGTGGTGAAAATGTACCTGCATGAGAAATTAGCCATGTATGACTCCACACAAAATCTGGAGCAATTAAGAAAAACTTTTAAAAGGACATTCCTAGTTACAGTGATTGCCACCTTTCATCATTTTTTCTTTCAGTCCCTTTACAGATTAATTGTTAGACTTGACATATTTCATCCAGATGTTATGGCCAAATGACCCTGCACATGCTCACCTTTTCAGTTTTTGAATTATTGCCTTTAAATGGTTTTGGTAGGAAGAGGTCTTTCTGGACTGGGGTAGCTATCAATTGATCCGGCAGCAACCAATTGTTCTCTCTTTGCCTCAGATTTTAAAGAAAACTATACCTCTCTACTTAAGAACTCTTTTCCCACTCTTTTTCAGATAGTGGTCAGTTAAGAGTTATTCAGTCAGCCACGTAGTGAGTCAGTCACGTAGTTAGCCAGTATGCAGTCGTGTAGTCAGTCATGAAGCTGGTTAGTCCATTTAAGCTCTGTTCATGTAACCTGTCATTATTTTCTATAATATGCTGTTTTGATCTCTTCAGAACTGTGAGTAAAATGACCTTTTATTTTTCTCTCCCTCTTACCAGTGTCCCAGAGTGAGTTACTGAGACTGTAAATGCCAGTTGAGGAAAAGAAGAAAATAAGGGGTGATATTCAAATACTTGAAGCTAATTTTGCTCTGTAGGTCTCTGAACCTTTTCCCCGAGTAGCTAGAAGGGTTTTTTTTTTTTAAGCCTAAACTTCCACACTGCCAAGAAATAGATCTCACTCCCCTTCTCTGGCCCTCTTTACAGTGTGTTTAATATTATAAAATTAGGAGAGAATTTGCATATGAATAACTATGGGATCTCACAGTTCAGTGTCCTTCATGCGTTCTCTTGGCAAGGGGATTAGTGTAGAACCAGAGCTTGGAAAAGTTATCTTTTTGGACAACAAGAGGCTGACTACCCAGGTGTTTACCCTGCTGTTTGCATTGCTGCAGAGATGGATTGGTTCGTTCCTAACAAGAACAATCAGACTACCTCTTTGCTGTAGTGAACTTGCCCAACCCAAGAGCGGTCCCATCCACACGTTTCTGGTCCATGTCAGTGGCTTCTACTTTTTTGGTGTGGGTTAGGGTCATTCTATTTTGGTTCATTTAAGCACATTTGATCACTGGAAATGAACCAAAAGGTTCATTTAAGCACATCTGATCACTGGAAATGAACCAAAAGTGAGAACAAAAGAGAAACCCATTAATTGCTGATATAGTGAAGTTGCATAAGAAGAGAGCCACATCGAGATATTGGCAAATTCAACACTTTCTCGCCTCTCTGGAGTGGCTGAGAAAGTGATTTTTTTTTTTAAAAAAAAAGTGTTTTGGAGCAGAGCATATGTGCTGTGTCAGTTTAAAAGAAATAAAAACTAAATGGAAAAGTTCATCGTGGAAGCAGGAGAGGACAGTAAGGATCAATGAGGTTTGAGGTTTTTTGTCCGCTTTTCTCGACTGACTCAACTGGAAGAGAAAAGCAAAGAAAAATCCCTGTTGCTGCATCACAGTCTCTTCTCACTGCTGAGAATATTTATTTAAAACATCCTTGCCAGGATCCTCCATAGAGCCAAGGAAGTGTTTAGTTCGCCAATACCCTGAAGTATCCCTCTTCTTAAGCTACTTCACGATATCAGCAATTGACAGGAGTTCTCATTTTTGCTTCGTTTCCAGGGATCAGATGTGCTTAAATGAATCAAAACAGAGTTATTCTACCCACACCAAAAAAGTGACTTACACTTCACAATGTTGGCAAATTGACAGCGAGCCAGATAGGATTCCTTGAAGTCTGTATGCAATCTAGATATGAAGATTGCACCAAACGCCATAGTGAACCTCTTAGCCAACTTCAGCCCGTTCCAAAACAGGCATGTAAATGAGTCCCAACTCTGGCTGTAGTAGTCTGAAAAAACCCTAACTCTTCCAAAAAAGGCTATGTAAACCCGAGGCCTGCTCCTAATTCACACATAGCAGAATCCTTGTTTGTGGAGAGTTTGGACCAAACAGAATTTACACTATGTAAAATATTTTTATCCCACCTTTCTCCTTAAAAACAACCTGCGGTGGCTTTCCATTCATTAAGTCTCTCTTTCTTACCTTGAGCCATTAACTTGATTTGGATTGCACTCCATTTTTATTGTGACTCTGGTTGGAGGCTGTGATAACCAGTCCTGCTGGGGAACACGTGGACTCATCTTTGATGTTTGCCCATATTCACTAGAAGAGGAGGCTGTCATCTCTGTTTTAGCAAGGTGGGGAGTTCCGTAGGCACACTCAAATAAAGACTGATCTTCACTCACAACTGATAGTGCTTCCTGAGAAGATAATACAACAAAATTGCCTTGAGAGTCAAATTATACAAATAGTGGATAATATAGATTTCACTGATGCTTTGATCTATAGATGTTAAAGTATGTACACTTGGAAGAAGAATAAATGTTTTTGAAAAGAGCCTTGTTTATTTAGCAGTAAGCAGTAACAGCTGAAACTCTTGTTGTTGTGTGGCTCTCCTTCATATGTGTGTAACACTTTGTTGTAAGGATGCCTTAGAGATGAAGAATTTCTTATTCATCCCTGAAATATCATTGAAAACTTATACTGATTGAGTCCTGGGAAGTGGACCTTCCTTTCTGCCCAGTCATATATCATTTCCTGGACAACACAGTAAAAAAATGAAGAGATCTAAAGCATTTAGAGCTGATTCTTCAAGGATATTACTATTTTTAAAAATACATGTGAAATGCAAGTATTCATAGCTATAAACTGGATTCTGTTGTTACTGCTCCTAAATCATGTCTTTCAGGAAAAGTAAAACTAGCTTATTGGTCCTTTTGAAAACTTCTTTTAGTACTGTACAAGATCCTGCCATTCTTGTGAATGATCTTTATTTTATCGATACTTCTGTTCTACATGTTCATGTGAAGCCATGTGAAGACAGAAACTGAGAATTTCTGATCCAGAAATTAATTTAACTGGAGTTGAATTTCTGGGGAGACTACTCTAGTTTGTATGTCAGTGTCATGGAGCAAAGAGAAATTTCTGCTGAGAAATGGGACAGAGAACTGTGTGATACAGATGAGCAAAACAGCAGGATTTCTCTCAGACTGTTTCATAAAGGATAGCAAGCCACCATCTTACCACCAGGAAACCACTTAGCTCATTTCTGAGCTATTCCAATTTTGACCCCATCTTCCCTATTCAGTTCACAATTCTGACAGCCAGGAATTGTCTAGAACCCTCTCAGATTCCTGGTAGTGAAAAGACAGCTTCTAGCAATATGGAAAAATCTTTCTTGGCCAGGTGAAACTTCTGAGATAGAGAAATTACAACTGTAAAAAACACTGGGGCAGAAACCCATATCCCACAGGAACTCTTGAAGCAAGAAGCTCTTTTATGGAGAGATTGCTCTCCAAGTGATTCTTGCATAAGCAGCCTTTTATATCATCTTAATCTAATATCGTAATGGGGTTCCATTTGTTTGCATAGTTTACATGGGTGCACCTACAAAAGCTGCTGCATGATGGGAAAGCTCCTCAAATCATATCAGAGGATCCTTTGAATATCTTGTTGAAGAGGTGGGCTTCCCCCACCCTCATAAAGATTTTGCAGATGCTGCAATGAAGATCAGCTAGGATATGAGAGGTCTGCAGCTTCTTTTCTCTTTGGTTTCTATTTAGGCAGGTATAGTCCCACTGCAACTGGAAAAAAACACACATACTGCACAGAGTCAGAGACTGGTAAAGTCCTGCAAGCCTTCCCAGTTCTTGCTGCCTGGTGGGATTTTCTTTGGATGCACAAAATTGCAGTGGTGGTGGCAGCAATATACTTGGATGCATGGTCCATACAGCAGAATGTCCTGAAATGTGCACAATTTTTTCTTTTCCCCATATAAACGGATAGTTTCATTCACTTTGTGGGGTGAGGAGAGTAACATGCTGAACTCAGTAAAAGAGTTGTAGAGAGAGCAAATATTTATTTATTTGCCACCACAATACTATTCTTCACCTCTAAATCTGTATGGATTAGCCACAACTGATAGGGGTACTTCACAGGTTCAATATGTTCAGAGTCTGGCGCATGCAGGGACAAGCTCCATTTCTTGGAAACCTTACAGGGATCCCACTGAAGGCATAGTATCTGGAGGTTGATATCATGTATCAAAATCACGGCAACTGGACTTTTTTCTTATTATACTGAAATGTTTCGCTACTTATTAGATTTCAACCAGTTACCATGACTCAACTTCCAGATAACCTCACCTGGGTGACTAAGAGTCTTCACAAATATAAGGCACAGTATACTTCTCTGTATTAAGTTTATAAGACAAGATCCTTCAGGGTCCAGTTGATATCATGTATCAAAATCATGGCAACTGGACTTTTTTCTTATTATACTGAAATGTTTCGCTACTTATTAGATTTCAACCAGTTACCATGACTCAACTTCCAGATAACCTCACCTGGGTGACTAAGAGTCTTCACAAATATAAGGCACAGTATACTTCTCTGTATTAAGTTTATAAGACAAGATCCTTCAGGGTCCCTGAAATATTTTGCTATTCTATTTATTCAAAAGCTGGCTTGTAGGACAATATAGATGGGAGGGAGGGAGGGAGGGAAGGAAGGAAGGAAGAAAGGAATTTTTCTCTATTTCAGGTCAGGTTCAAGCCAGAAAAGACTTGGCAGAATGCAATAATTATCTCCACTAAAGACAACAATTCTGAGCCCAAAAAGACAAATTTGGGCTCTGGATTAATAACCCTTGTTGGAATCTCTAATATTTACTTTACAATTTCCTTCAGTTCATTCCAAATCTTGAACAAGAGGACTTGTGCAAATGGCATAGATAGCCTGTGATCTAAGCACTGAGGAAAACTTGTTCTAAATTTGGTGGAGAGGTGCCTCCTAGAACTGTGGGCCACCTATGACAACAGCTCACATGGCTGAACAAAATCATATTGGCTGAAATCTTGTTGATTTGTTACACAAATGGCATAGCATTCACTGTTCTAGTTGGCAATTAATGAGTCTCTAGTGAGGTTCTCAAGAGCTAGTGGTCCCGAGAATCCCAAGGATTACTTGTTAATTGCTGGCTAGGAATGACAGGATGCAATGCCTTTTGCTTTTGCATGCATAACAAAGCAAGTGAGTTTTGCCTATTTTCACTGCTTCTCTGAGTTAAAAAGGGGTCTCTCAGGCTAAAAAGGGACATCTCAATGTTGCATCATTGGTCTGGGCTGAGTGGAATCTAGTTATTTGAGGAATGACAGTTTTAATTAAGCACACATTTTTAGCTCACTGGCTTTCAAAAATTTTTGGTTAACCTAAAAACAAAAACAATCTTAAAGATGTTTTCTAATAATTAAAACATTCCCATTAAAAACCATTAAAGTAACACTGGAGATTTAAAAGGTTTACTATATATTATTCTGAATTATAGAATCTAATTTGATACACTGGGTCCCCTTCTGTCAGACTTTTAAATGTACTTAGTAAAAAATCCAAATCCTTTGACTGAAAAGAAGTATTTAAATAGCAGCAGATGCTAGAGATGTGCCTATCCAGTTTTTAAAAATTTATCACTTCAGTCTCCCACCCCTGTGGAGCAGTAAAGTAGTCTTGTTTGCTCTTTTTACTGCTTTCCACATATGTTTTTGAAGCCCAAACCCAGTCCAGAACTTTTGAAAACCCTTTCCTGGTGTGTAATGTTAGACCTCAAGCAACTTGAATAATGTGAAGTTGCGCCATTGCTGAAAGTGCCTATATGAATGATTATTTAAATGACAAAAACATCCAAGCTGAAGGATTTTAGAATTAATACTGACACTGTATATTTATTTACAACTAAATGACCATACATATTTACTTACACAGAAACATGCTATATAATTTTCCATGAGTTAGACTTCACCAAAATAAAGATTGTGGAAGTAATTATCAATTTACTATTGCTTTTTGAGATTATTAAATATAGTATAATAGGGTCCTTCCTCTATTTTTCCATTGACTATAAAATAGCATCTACATGATAAATCTGCAATACTATGGAATTTGGGAATATTGTTCAGGCAAGACAAAGAGAGAGAGATAGCATTTCTATGTACAGCACATTCTACCCAGTGTTTTTTAAAAATGAATTGCAGATGAGGGAAACATTATACACTCTGAGAATCACTTGTGAAAATGGCCAGTACGGATGCAGATGGCATGGCTTCAAGTGCAGTCACCTGTGTCAAGAGTTGCTTTACACATCTGGAACATATTACACCTCTATGAAACTGGTTCATCAAATCACACAATGTGCCACGTACTGTGTTTATGACACAGCAGAGGAACAAGATTTTTTTTTTGGAATGAAAAGCAAGAAAGAATGATCTTGTCACCACCTTCCTATACAAGTATTTTATCATTGGTTTGGAAATTATAACTCACCTACTTGAATTCATCATTTAAAAATAACTGCTTAGTTCAGTCACAACACTGACAAGACATTTTATTTGGAAGAATAAAGGAACATATTTTCTTATTTAGTGAATTTATAATCTTCCAGCCAGTTCCATAAAACTTAGCATGGAATTCATAACATCCCTCAGATTGAGAATGCAGGCAAACTATATTTGTGAGCATATATCCATGTATGTATGAGCACATGTACATGTGTGTGCACATGTGCACTGGTGCACATATATACATCTTACTCCAGATTCCACTTTGTATAAATATATGTCAAGAATTCTGCAACTTCTAAAATATCCAATCACATGAAAAGACTCTAGAGTAGCAATGGTGAACCTATGGCATGCATGCCACAGCTGGCACAGAGAACCCTTTCTGCAGGCATGCGAGCCATAAGTCACCGGATCGCTACTCCACCCGCACAGCCAAACCTGACAAGGCAGCTGCAGCCATGGTGCTGGTGCTTCGACAGGTGGATTTGGAGCAGCTGCGCTGGTGGCAGATCTGGAGTTGGGTCTCAAGGCACCTCTGTGCCTAGGATTCTCCCTTCTGCCACTCCTTCTGGTACCACCGCGGCAGTGGCATGCCGCCCACTGGTTGTTTTCTTTTCCTCTTTTTTTTTCAGTTTGGGCATGGGAGCCCAAAAAGGTTAGCCACCACTGCTCTAGAGCAGTGACGGCGAACCTTTTTTGGGCCCGAGTGCCCAAACTGAAAAAATAAAACAAAAACAAAAAAAACCTAGCCGGTGGCAGGCAGTGGCAGCAGCAGAACCAGAAGTGGTGGCGGAAGGGAGAATCGTGGGCACGGAGGTGCCTCGAGACCCCACTCCAGATCTGCTGCCAGCTCCAGCTGCTCCGGAT